CAGCAGGGATGATTTAAAGGAATCATTTTATTCATTAGATCTTGATTCACACAAGCCCCCACATACAAATATCGATGAAAATATTAATATAATTAGAAGGATTAAAGATGCTACTTGCAACGTGCGTGTTTGGGTGTGGCCTGTGCTCGTCCATTTCTTCTATTAATTACAATTTGTTACACAGACAATGACAGACTATAATAAGTCCTTATTAAACAAGCTAATCCAAGTCGAAGCATTTTCTTACAATAACAGCTGGTAATAATTTGTTTTTGATTTTTTTTAACCCACTTGATGGACCTATAGCTTGATTCTTAGGGTTAATATTACGAAAAATCTCAAACTGGTACATATATGATAAATTCACCCAAAACTAATTTTTTTACTACGAAAAACCCCAAACTGGTATACCTGTAACAATTTTACCCTCCGTTAGTTTCGTTAAATTTTACTGTCAAATTTTTGAGTTGGATGATACGTGACAGTTGACGGGTGTATCACTTTACGGTTTTACTTTCTGCTTGTCATAGGTATACCGGTTTGTATTTTTTGTGATATTAATTCAATTTAACCGAGGGTAAATTTATCATAAATGTACAAGTTCGGGGTTTTTGGTGATAAAAAATTAGTTTGGGGTAAAATTATTACAGGTGTATCAATTTGGAGTTTTTCATAATCAAAAAATTAATTTTTGATAAATTTATCATATATATATTAATTTGAGATTTTTCGTAATATTAATTTTAATTTTTATAATACGAAGAAATCAAACAAAGAAAATCAATTTAAGTCCCCAGTTGATTGAGAAGATCGAGAGCGGTCATTTTTTATTTCTATGTTAGATCAGTGAGGACTTGGAGCAGTGTGCTATCAAGTTTTCAGCTTCCCAAGGATTTGACTAGAGCTTTGTTAAGGCCTCAATTAATTAAGGTGATACTATCGATGTGCATAGTCCATACCCCTTTCCTCTTTCTTTCTCGTGACGTGGGTCTTTGTGAAGGTTCTGAATCATTGAATCTCGGCCGTCGATAATCACATATGTCAGCAAAAAGTTGTTGTGTTCCTGCATATCACCAGAATCTGAAAATTATCGACCTGTCAAGGACCAAAATCCGACTGAATGGAAAAAGAAGAAGTAATGCTTATGTATAAAGACTCATTAAAAAAAACTATAAAAATTATCCACTAGATTTGCATTGCATGAAAGTGTTTTAGTAAAATATATTTTTTAAATCATAAAAAATAAATTTTCTTAAATTTGGTTAAATATGAAAGTGTTTTCGCAATAAAAATCGGGTCGGATGTGAGTTAGGTATGGATCAAAAAATTTATATTACGAATATATGAATCATAAATAGATTAATAAGTCAATTTAGATAGAATTATTTGTGATCCGATTCAAATTCAAATCGACTCATCCGTTTAACATGCGTGGTATCTTATAAGATACAGAGTAAGTAAAGATTAAAGAGAAAGGTAGCAGAATACAGACCACTTTTGCTTTACCTTAATTCAGACGAAGGTATCCCGAATCCATTTGGAACGGCATCGAATTGCCCCACAATCTTCTTCTTCAACATGGGTGCTCTGCTCAATTCCCCCACAATCAATTATCCACAGCTCTCGTGAAAATGGTTTTTTCTTCAAATTCCAAGGCATGGCGTGGCAGTTGACAATGCAAGTAAATCAAGACAATATAAGGAACATGATCTCAAAACATCGAATTTTAATTCATGAACGTGTCGAAAAAAAGAGGGGGAAATTTCCTACAACTTTCTCATTCGGCATTTTTACACTTCCACGACTTGGTAAACAGAAAAGACTAATCCGAATAAGTTAAGTAATCACCATTACATACACTATAATACAGTCCACAAATGCCTTGACTAACAGTCGAATTAATGAGTATTGTGATGAATGTGGAATACGAATAATATACGCATAAAATTAAAAAAATTTCCGATTCTTGGGATGGAGATTGTCACTGTGTGAAGAAATGTATGATGCGACTTTCCTTTACTAAGTGAGATTAAAATAAATATGTTCCTTCGGGAAAAGTAAGATCTCAGTTTGCATTTCTTAAAAAAAAAATCACGTGTCTTTTTAATGAGAATTTGAGTGGTTATAAATGATAATTGACTTGTGTAATTTGAAGTCTTGGTTATAATGTTTTGGGAAAATTTCAATTAAGGACCCCAAGTGGGGTCCTTTTCTTAAAAGAGGACCTAAAGTGAATATGGTGTCAAATAAGGACTTGAAATGCCCAATCAGTCTCAAATAGGGGTTCGAAGTGCTCAACTCGTCTTAGGTAAGGGCCTGGGTTCGCCGGCCGGTCAAATCTCGCCGGTCGGCGAGCACAGTTATTGTTCCGGCAACCGGAACAGTACATTTCATCTCTATTTTTTTTCCTTTTTCTATTTTTTTTTCTTCTCTTCCCTCCGCCGGCCATAGCCGGGGCCGGCGGAGGTCGCTGGCCTCAGGCGGAGGCCACCCTCGTCAGCGTCGGACGAGGGCCGCCCTCGCCTGGGCTGGGCGGGCGAGGGTCGCCCTCGCCCGACCCTGGCGAGGGTCGCCCTCCCCCGACCCTGGCGAGGGTCGCCTTGGCCAGATCCGGCGAGCGCAACTCGCCCGCCCGGCCCTGGGCCGAGGGCCGCCCTGCCGGCGTCGGGCGGGGCGAGGGTTGCCCTCGCCGAACCGGGCGAGGGTCGCCCTCGCCCGCCCACTCGACGCCGGCGTGGGCGACCCTCGACTGGGCGGGCGAGGGCAACCCTCGCCGGCGTCGGGCGAGGGCAGCCTCCGCCTGAGGCTATGGCTGGTGGAGGGAAGAGAAAAAAAAAACAGAAAAAGGAAAAAAAAAATAGAGACGAAATTTACTGTTCCGGTTGCCGGAACAGTAACTGTGCTCACCGGTCGGTGAGATTTGACCGGCCGGCAAACCCAGGTCCTTACCTGAGACGAATTGAGCACTTTTTGCCCCTATTTGAGACTAATTAGGCACTTCTAACCCTTATTTGACACTGTTTACTTTGGGTCCTCTTTTGAGAATGGGGTCCTTTTAATTGGAATTTTCCCTAATGTTTTGGCTTTCTTTTTCCAACCCGCTTACACCTATGCGGTTACATAGAAACGTCTTTAACTCTCCAAATCCTCTCCAACTCGAATCATCATTCACTTCTTTATTTTTTTTTAAATAAAAAATTTTGAACTGGGTAATGAAATAAATTAGGGTTAATACCACGAAAAACCCCAAACTGGTACACCTGTGACAAATTTACCCCAAACTATTTTTTTGACCACAAAAAACCCTAAACTGGTACACCTGTGACAATTTTATCCCGAACTATTTTTTTGACCATCAAAAACCCCACACTGGTATACCTGTGACAATTTTACCCCCGAACTAATTTTTTGGCCACCAAAAACCCCAAACTGGTACACCTGTGACAAATTTACCCTCCATTAGTTTCCGTTAAATTTTACTGTCAAATTGCTAAGTTTAATGACACGTGGTAATTGACATGTGTACTGATTTTGGGTTTTACCCCTCTGTTTGTCACAAGTTTACCAATTTGTGATTTTTTGTGATATTAATATAATTTAATGGACACTAACAGAGGGTAAATTTATCATAAATGTATCAGTTTGGGGTTTTTAGTGGTCAAAAAATTAGTTCAAGGGTAAAATTGTCATAGGTGTATCAGTGTGAGGTTTTTGGTGGTCAAAGAAATAGTTCAGGGTAAAATTGTCACAAGTGTACCAGTTTGGGATTTTTGGTGGTCAAAAAAATAGTTCGGGGTAAATTTATCACAGATGTACCAGTTTGGGGGTTTTTGTGGTCAAAAAAATAGTTCGGGGTAAAATTGTCACAGGTGTACCAGTTTAGGGTTTTTCGTGGTATTAACCCAATAAATTATTATGTTTGTTCACTGACAACTAAAGATAAGCATAATCTGCAGTCGAGCCCATTTTTCACTAAAAGGTCCATCGTGTCTCCCAGTCATGGCCACGGTTCGGAACCGGCGGTTCCGGTTCGTGGCCAAGCATGAACCGGAACCGGAACCTCCCCTGGCGGTTCCGGTTCCGGGCCGGTTCCGGTTCCGGTTCAGGTTCGGAACCGGTTCCGGGCCGGTTCATATTTTTTTTTCTTTTCTTCCTCCGCCGGCCATAGCCGGGGCCGGCGGAGGTCGCCGGCCTCGCCGGCGTCTGGCGAGGGCCGCCCTCGCTTGGGCTGGGCGAGGCCGGCCTCGCTAGATCGGGCGAGGGCTCGACCTCGCCGGTGTCGGGCGAGGCCGACCTCGCCCTGCAACCTGGCGAGGCCGGCCTCTGGCGAGGCTCGCCGGTCGAGGCTGGCCTCGCCAGTTGTAGGCGAGATCGGCCTCGCCCAACACCGGCGAGGTCGAGGCTGGGGGGTTTTTTTTTTTTTTTTAAAAAGCTTTGCCCGTCCGTTGCCAAGCAGCCAAGGGCTGCTGAGGGGCGGCAGAGGGCAGCAGTTTTTTTTTTTTTTTCGGAACCGAGCTCGGAACCGCCGGTTCCATAATTTCTGGAACCGGGCCCATAGGGCACGGGCCGGTTCCGGTTCCAAACCGCAGGCCCGGTCAACGGGCCGGGCCCGGGTTTGACCGGTCCGGTTCCGGGCCGAAACCGGCCCGTGGCCACCACTAGTGCCTCCCCACCACCCAAAAAAAAAAGACGTCTGATTGAAACCCTAAACCCACCATGTGGTACGCATAATATAAAAACACGAAACTAGGTTTTCGTTTCCCCATCGTCATTGACAGAGAGAGAAAGCTTCCACCTTCTCTGCTGCCTCCGCCATCGTCCTTCTCTCCAGAGTCTCAATTCCCTTCCCACTGCGCAAATACTGCCCCCACTCTCTCCGTCTCTCGTCCTTCGCCGTTTCTTTTCCATGCATGCTTACCGTGTTATCATGATAACAAGTTTGGTTCCTTCATAGCGGCTAGGCTAAACCTCCTTGAAAACTAATAACACCAATCACAACCATGACTGATGTCGTCTCTAGCATCCTTGGACCTCTTTTGGAGAAACTAGCTTCATCGGCTGTTGAAGAAATTCAACTAGTATGGGTCATCAAGGATGACCGAGAGAAGCTCAAGAACACGCTAGAAATGATCCAAAAGGTGCTCGCCGATGCTGAGCATAAGCAAACAATAGAGGCACCTGTAAGGCTTTGGCTATCGAAGCTCAAAGACTTCTGCTATGATGCCGAGGACGTGTTAGACGAATTCGAAGCCAGGGCTTTGTTGAGGCGGGTGAGGTCGACCGAGCACTTGACCTTCAAAAGGAAGGTACGCTACTTGTCCTTGTGGATATCCAACTTCATTTTCCAGTTTAAGATGGCACATAATATGAAAGAATTGAGGAAGAAACTTGATGGGATCGATGAAGAGAAAATTAAGTTCAACTTGTCGAGTAACGTTCATGACAAGACTATAGTTCCGCGGAGGGAAACTCATTCTTTTGTAGCCCCTCTGAATGTGATTGGAAGGAAGAAAGAAAAGGAAAGGATAATAGAGCTGTTGATAGGATCAGATGATGGTGGAGCTGGAAAGATAACAGTCGTACCGATTCTTGGAATGGGGGGTACCGGAAAGACAACTCTCGCTAAATTGGTATATAATGATGATAGGGTAAACGAACATTTCAAAGACAACAAAATTTGGTTATCCATGCCGGTAGAATTCGAAGTTGAGAAGATAATAAGAGACATCATCAAATCTTTTAGTGCCGAAACAAAATGTGATAGCTGGAGTCTTGAAACGCTGCAAAATCACCTAAGAAACCTCGTGAAGAGCAAAAGGTGTTTATGCATAATGGACGATGTGTGGGCAATGAGAAGGGAGGATTGGGTGGCATTGAGCGATTTGTTAGGAGGCGTTTCCGAAGGGAGTAAAGTCATCGTGACTTCGCGGAATAAATCAATCGCCTCAATCATGGGTACTGTCCCCCCATGTAATTTGGCCGACCTTTCGCTGGAGGATTCTTTGACTTTGTTTGTGAAGTGCGCGTTCGATCAAGGGCAAGAGAAGAATCGCCCGGACCTCATGGCAATCGGCGAGGAAATCGTGAGCAAGTGCGGAGGAAATCCTCTGGCAGTGAAAACTTTGGGAAGCTTGTTGTATTCGAAAAACAACCGGAGTGACTGGGAATACGTAAGAGATAGTGAGATGTGGCAATTACAAACTGATATTTTACCTTCACTGAGAATAAGCTACGATCTAATGCCGCCTTACTTGAAACGATGTTTTGCTTATTGCTCGATATTCCCAAAGATCAGCGGGTTCAGTAACATGTCTGCGATCCAACTGTGGATCTCGAATGGGCTTATCCAATCCAGCGGAAATAATCAGGAGCTGGAAGAGATAGGATGGCAGTACTTGGAGGATCTGTGGTCGAGATCCTTCATTGATTTTGTCGAGGAAGACTCTCTGGTGGTGAGGTTCCGAATGCATGACCTCATTCGCGAACTCGCCATTTCAGTGGCACAAACCGAAACGTCCACCATGGAAGTGTGGGGACAGGATATTTCCCCGACGACTCGACATATATCATTCCCCAACCCATCTCGTGTACCGAAAGACGAACTATGCGGCTGCTTGAGCAAACTTGGTTGCGTTCGTACCATCACGTTTGAGAAGGGTTCCTCTGGGGAGTTCTTTCTGGAGACATGCATTTCACGATTTAAGCACTTGCGAGTGCTATGGCTAGAAGACTGTGGCTTTGACTTACTGCCTAGTTCCATTGGCCGTCTAAAGCATTTGAGGTATCTTAGTTTAGGCCGCAACTATGATATCAAGAAACTCCCCAAATCGGTCTGCAAGCTTCACAATCTGCAGTTCTTAGTTCTTGGTGCGTGCACGGAACTCGAGGAATTGCCTGCAAACATTAGGAATATGATCAGCCTCCGCAGTTTGGATGTAACCACGAAACAGCGGCGTTTCCCAGAGGGTGGAATAGGATGCTTGACCTCTTTGCGGTGGCTATTCATTGAAGGGTGCAAGAATTTGGAGGCCTTGTTCGATGATATCCACTTGCTCACGTCGCTCCGTAAGTTGTTCATTGTAGATTGTCCGAAGTTGGCCTCCTTACCACAAGGCATCAAGAATCTGAAGGCATTGAAGGATCTCTTTATTGGTGACTGCGAGAGCTTGAGGTTGCCAGAAGGCGAAAGTAATGAGTTGAGGCTTCAATCCTTCGGATTCGTGGAATTACCGGAACTAGTTTCTTTACCCGGGTGGCTTGAAGGTTCTGCAAGTACACTGCAGAGCATAAAAATTGCAAATTGTCCCAACTTGAGTGTGTTGCCCGAGTGGCTTCAAAATTGTTCTTCTCTAAGAACACTGGAGATTGAAGACTGTCCTGCATTGTCCTCTTTACCGGATGGCATTAGCCGCATTGCCACATTGACAAAGTTGAGGATATCTGATTGCGAAGAATTGAGCAGTTGCGGAGAAGAAGAAGATTCAAATTGATCCATCGGTAAAAGCAAACTCCCCTTCTTTTTTCGACACGTTTATGAATCAAAAGTTGATGTTTTGAGATCATGTTCCTTATAGTCTTAATTTACATGCGTAGTTAACTGCCATGCCATGCCTTGGAATCTGAAGAAAATCATTTGCACGAGAGAACGTCGACGGAACCTATGTGTTGCATTGCCAGCCGGAACTTCCTTTTGGTCCCTCAAGATCAAGAACGTTCTGTTTGGTTGATCAATGCCAATGTCTCTGAAACTCCTGTAACTCCACGACTCTTCCTTCCTCTTATCGTGTCTCTTTCTTTTCTGTTTGTGTGGTGTGCACTGAAGACATCGTATTTGTATCTGTATGCCCGGTTGGTTTTATTGTTTTCTGAATTTCTTATTGGTGAGATAAAATTGGATTATGCATAACAACTAATGCGGGACTTCGTATTTTGGGGGATAATTTACTTCTCAACATAAATAATTAATAAAAAAATAGTCGAAGCATCTCAATGTTCATATTCTCATAAATTAAGAAGTTAGAAATTGAGAATGAAAAAATTTCAAGGCGCCTCCCATATATGGAGCCTCGATTCAAAATGAGGTTTCCTATGTCCATCGACATGTATGCGACAATCTATCATGCTTTCTTGATTGACACATATGAAAATTGTAAAATCTTTTCAAAATTGGAATTTGTCGACGACACTGACTACTTGAGGCCCAATTCCCTAAAAAACCCCCAACTTTACCCTTTGTACCAATTATATCCCAAACTTTTTTTGTCTTATAAAAAACCTCAAACTTTTACTTTTGTCCCAAATCTACCCAATTCACTTTTCGTCCAATTTTTTAATATTATTTTTTATTTTTTCGAATTTTTTTATTTTTTATTTTTCCTTTCCTTTTCTTTTTTTTTTTTGTTTCACCTTCTGGCCGGTCGCCGGTCCGGCGACCGGCCAGAGGCGGGGGCCAGCGAGGTCGGCCCCGCCGGCCGCCGGCGAGGCCGACCTCGCCAATAGCCGGCGGGCCGACCTCGCCAATAGCCGGCGGGCCGAGCCTCGCCGTGGCCGGGCGAGGCTCGGCCCCCGCGGCCGCCGGGCGAGGCTCGGCCTCGCGTTCTGCCGGGCGAGGCCGACCTCGCCGGTGCGCACGGGCCGACCTCGCCAATAGCCGGCGAGGCTCGGCCTCGCCCGGCGGCCGGCGTGGCCGAGTTCTCGCCAGATCGGCGAGGCCGACTCGCCAATAGCCGGCGGGGCCGAGCCTCGCCGTGGCTAGCGAGGTCGGCCCCGCCGCAACCGGGCGAGGTCGGCCTCGTCCAAGAACGGCGAGGCCGAGCCTCGCGCCCACCTGCGAGGCCGGGCCTCGCCCACCACGGCGAGGCTCGGCCGCCCAACGCCGGCGGGACCGAGCCTCGCAGCCCACGGCGAGGCTCGGCCTCGCCCAACGCCGGCGAGGCCGAGCCTCGCCCCCGCCGGCCCCCGCCTCTGGCCGGTCGCCGGTCCGGCGACCGGCCCAAAGGTGAAACAAAAAAAAAAGAAAAGGAAAGGAAAAAGAAAAGAAAAGAAAAAATAAAAAAAATTCGAAAAAATAAAAAATAATATTAAAAAATTGGACGAAAAGTGAATTGGGTAGATTTGGGACAAAAGTAAAAGATTGAGATTTTTTATAAGACAAAAAAAAGTTTGGGATATAATTGGGACAAAGGGTAAAGTTGGAGGTTTTTTAGGGAATTGGGCCGACTACTTGAGGCCCATCAATTGGGGATTAAGGACAAGGATAGGCATTATGGGACAAGTGACTACAACTTACGACCCATCGCACCGATTGAGGACCGACCCATTGTCGACCTAATGACCAACTGAAAGCTACTCAAGTCCAATCGATACTAATTGAGACTAACTGACTAACGCTTGGGATTGAGTAACATTGATCCAAGACTCTGCACGATAACAATTTGCAATGAAATGACAGTGAAATATGGGTTAGGACTAGTTGTCGAGGTGATTTAATCCATATTACCCATCAAAAAAGAGAATTTTGATTGACATCTTAGACTATAGAATACAAACAGGGCCATTTTGGTGAATGAACTCATTTTTAAAACTTTGTAAGAGTAGATTGACAATATATATCAAAGAGAAAAGTTAAAGGGCCAGTTCGCAATTTTTCTTTAAAATACACAACTTGGATAATTTTCACTACGAGTCTTAGAAGACTCTAAGCTTTTTTTCTTTTTAACATCTGTTTCGTCCACCACCAACCGTGTGAAGAGTTTTCTTTCCACAGGTGACGAACTCTATATGTCCAAACTGTAAATATTGAAATGAATAAGTTAAATTTGCTTAGTGATAAATAAGCTTAATGAAGGACCATATTGAAATGTGTATTTTCTTTCAGGGAAAGAAAAGAATTTGGTTCCCGACATAAACATGGAAAACCAAGGGGCACAGAGGATTCCTACAACTTTCACATTTCCACTAATATGCGAAGGCTTTTTTAAACTTCCATGACTTGGTAAACGGAAAAAACTATCCGAATAACTTAAGTAATCTTGGTTATATGCAGTATAATACAATCCATGTGATAATTACCCAAAACATTTCTAAACTTATTGCAATTGTGCCAATTTAGTCCTAAATCTTTTAATAGTCCTGCACCATTTCACATTTTGTCAATTTGAGTCCATCGGCCAATTTTGATCGGAAATCGCTGACGTGAATGCTAGGCATTCTACATGACATGGCGTAGGATGGCCAGTGCTGACGTGGACATTTTTAATAATATTTTAATAACATTTTGATTTTTTTATAATATTTTGTTCTTTTCTTTTCTTTTTTTTATTTTTTTTAATTTTTTTTTCTCCTTTCATTTTGGCCTGTGAGGATTATGTCCCTCGCCCAGGCCCTCGCCAGATCAGGGCAAGGGCCGCCTCGCCCGTAGCCAGTGGGACCACAAAGGCCTTGTTCGCAACCAGCGAGGCTGCAATGGCGTCGCCAGGGCCTTTATGGCCCCACCAACTGCAGGTGAGGCGGCCCTCGCCCAAATCTAGCGAGGGCTACAAGGCTCATAGCAAGCCATCGCTGGCCAAAATGAAAGGAAAAAAAAAGAGAGAGAAAAAGAAAAAATAATATTAAATTTTAAAAAGTTAAAACAAATTGCAAAAATTATCCACGTTACCAATTTTCAGCCAAAATTGATTGAAAAAACTTGATTGACAAATTGTGAAAAGGTTAAGGATTAAATTGGTACAATCGAATGGTTTATGACTGAATTAATATAATTATAATAGGTTTAAGACTTTTTTGGTAATTTCCCCTACAACCCACGAATACCCTGTCTAACAGTCGAATGTATCAAGTATAGTGATCAATGCAGAATGCAAATAATGTATGCACAAGATTAAAATTTTTCCGATTCTTGAGATGGAGATTATTATTGTGTGAAGAAATGTATGATGTGACTTTTCTTTACTTGACGAGATTATTATTGTGTGAAGAAATGTATGATGTGACTTTTCTTTACTTGAAAAAATCTAGGTTATAATGTTTTGTTTTTCCTTTTCCAATTGATTGTTTGCCTGACCAATGATCTCTTGCTTTAGTAAGCAATGCATAGAGAAGTGATGAAGTTTCTTGATAACTTAGATTTGGATTTTTTTTTTTTTGGTCAAAAGATAAGTTACTTTCATTACTGACTAGAACTTGAAAAACAAGAGCGTCCTATTTCTTAACATAACGAAGACCAAAGTGGTTGGAGGGGTTTTATAGCCAAAACGGACTAAGGAAGTCATTCCGATGGGCCTTTGCCACCCAATCCACAACATGGTTGGCCTTCCTTGACAAAAGACTAAGGAAATACCATTCTTCTAGGCCATCAATTGTTGGCACTCCTTAACAAGGGTTCTAATGGTCCATGGGCTCTCCTCAAGGCCTGCAATATACTTCATTGTAGAGAGACTATCGGATTATGGTCAGAACCAATAGTCCGCAATGCGAAGGCTTCAGCATTAGAAAATAGCAATCTCCACTCCATATTACATACAACTCTATCCAACCCTTCCTTCACCTAAGCTTCCCATTCTCTATTGTTGGATTAAGTATAAGCACAACCCTTGCTCTCAATATCCATTAGGGCAGAGTCATTCATCATTTCCCCAAACACTCTCATTCCATAGTAGCCCGCCGCCCATTTATCCACTTTCTCCCGGAGAATCTCGTTAAAATCTCCCATGCAAAGCCAAGGGAGGTTGTTACCTGGATGGATGAACCGCAATTTCTACTATGGACTCCGCCTCTCTTGAAAATCAGTAGAAGAATGGAGAAAGGATATCCGCATTGTAATGTCTCTAGAAAGGTCCTTGAATATAATGTCATAGCAACCCTGTGCAAACCTCAACTCCCACCGACACTTCCTCGTCCCACATGATTACTAAACCCCATGCTTTTCCTTGCGGATCAATAGTCACTGATTTCTAAAACCGGAGGCAATTTCCAATTCTATTCATCATAGCTCTTTTATTCTTTGTCTCCATCAAGAACAGAGCATTGGGTCTTTCTTGAGCCACTAGGGCATTAAGATACTAGAATGTCAAGGTAGAATCCAAACCCCGACAATTCCAGCTCAAAATCTACATATATCTCCCGGTGGCTTATTGGGCTAGCCACTAAAACCCATTCTTTTGAGCTATCATCAACCATTATCGGAGTTTACAGGAGTAGAGTTTCATCAAGCCCACTAATCTCAGCCCCTTGGGTGTTATGAGGGTTATGCCTTCGCAATTTCTTTGATGCCAAAGCATTGTGGTCCTTCTTGCTTTTCTTGGAGGACCTCCGCAATTTTCTCGAATACTTTGGCTACAACATCTTCTGACTACAATCTTCCTTTTCTTCTACACAGAGCTGCCAATCTTTGCTCCTTATCTATCGCACCATCCTTAATGTTCACTGTTTTGCACTTACAGGGTTGTAGAAACTGTGAAAATCCAGCTTGGTGGACACACCACAGAAATGG